GGTTGTGCTTAAGCCGGCAAACTTCCTTGACCCCAGAGTTGCCACCAAGGGCTCCTTGCCGCGAAGTCCGCTAGGATTTGAGGTGGTAAGACGGGCGTATTGAGTGGTCCTGGATGGCTGGCTTCCCCAATGCGTTTGCCATGTGTCCAGGCGAAGGGTGTATTGTGTGAGCAAAGCCCGGTGCTCCCCGACCCTGTTCGCGGTCAGGGGACAGAGATGCCCCCGCGCTGTGCTGGTAGAGCCGGGTAAGGGAGATGGCCTGGGCGGGTTGAATGATCTCACACGCGAATTAGAGACATTATTTCAGAGACACATGATTTCAGAGACACACATTAGTGCCATCTCGGCTCCCTCAACCACCCGCAGTTTGCAAACATGGACTGGGGTGGCTACTGTTTCGGATTTATGCTTGCCGGTCCATCAACCAACAGTGGCCGGTGGACATGTAGGAATCAAGCAGAGTCCAGATCAGCTCCCGCCAGATCATTTCGCATCAACTGCTCATCTCGAATATCTACGGATACTCTCGGGACCCCACATGGCCTTGCGCAGAGGCCCTCACCAGCAAATTGCTGGCCTTCATCACCCAGCGCCTCATCGCAGGCTACAATGGCCTGGCCGCAGTGACGGGGGGCTTCAACTTCGATCCCGATGAGCTCGACGAGTTCAAGGTTTGGCGCCAATTCGGATGGACCCACGCTCAGCAACATGCCGAGTACCAACGGGGCACACCGGTCAAGCCGACGTGCAAAGGCCGAACTCAACGTGATCACTTTTGGATGTCACCAGAGCTCAGCGCTCTCTGCCGGCAATTTCAGACAATCGATCTGTTTGCGGATCACACCACGCTGGCAGCGGACTTCGGCATTCAGCAATGCGAGCAGTGCTGCTGATCCCACCACCCCGGGAACGATGGCTGGAATCCAGACGCACGTCTGATCAAGGACCACAACGATGCCCTATATGTCTCCGAGTTCATTGATGCCCTTCCTGATCTAGCCAAATGCATGAGCGACTGCAATCGTCTGAGTTGCTTGTGCCATCGAAGTACGGCCTGGCCAGGAAGATCGTGAAGACATACTTCGCCAGGTCGACTAGCTTTGCAGGTGGCGGAGATGCGGTCATAACCAAGGGCGATGTTCTATGCCCACGTCCTCGGCATGGGCTGGGTAGTGATTGGCCCGGTTGATCAAGTATATGACCGTGAAGTGAGTTCTTGAACTCAGCAGAAAAGCGGCGCAGTCGGCCAGTTCCCGGTACACCCACCCAGGGCAACCCAGGCTGAATGGTTCTACGCGGCCTTTTTGATCAGTTTTTTGTAGCTTCGAGCAGTGGCACTATTATGAGAGACGCAAGCTCCTCGCAGCCAAGGGCGGAGATCGCCATTTGTTTGAAGACTTGCGCCCGCCGCTCAAAGAGCAGATCGAACAACTATGGGAGGACCGTGAATTGATGGTGATGAGACGAGCGGATCAATCCACCTGGGCGCATCCCCTACTTGCTCCCCTACCATTTCGTGGCAACTGGACGGGGTTCCAATCCACGTGGAGCAGTTCAACGAGGACATCGTTCAGGTGGGTCAAGTCGCTTTACCTTCTCCCGGATCCTACATCACACAGCGGATCCATCACACCACCCGGGCAGCGATCCATGAACAACTCAGCCAACTCTGGAAGCCCGGATGGCTAGCGTCCACTCCTTCAACGTCCGACTGGGACAGGATCATCAATTTTGCACAGGCATACCATTTTTCACTACCATCCCTTTCAGTCAGATCTTGGCGAAGATCGACCAGCCGAATCAAACCTCAGGCGGCCCGCGGGGCCGATGGACACCACAAGCTGCACCTGATCAACACGCAGGACCATCAGCTTGGAGGATGGCAAGGCCAGCTGGCCAACACAGCTCTTGGAGGGATCGGTCATCGCCTTGGCGAAGACAGAAGCCTCCCATTTGGCGGGCCATTTTCGTCCAGCGGTCCTTCTTTCAATGATTTACCGATGTTGGTCATCCTTGCGGGGGCGACAGCTCCTGGCACAGCTCGGTCACTTCATCTGCAGGATGCACATGGCTTCATACCCGGACGAGAACCGGCGCAGATAGGGTTGGTGCTCCAAAGCCAGATCGAGCTGTCGCTAAAGACCTTTGTGGGCTCTCACGGATGCCGAAATGGCCTTCAACAACATCAGGCGGGAGCCTCTTTTCCGGTTGGCCGAGCGCATTGGAGTTCCTTCATCGGTGACACGCCCCTGGAAATCCTTGACTCAAAGTGCAGAATCAGTTGGGCCCCGCCCACCTATCTGACATTGGATTTCCGGAGGGCTGTGCTCTGAGCGTCTCAGCAATGGCGATATTAAATTAAACAATACATGCAATACATATATTTCAAGCCCATTTCACGGTCAGCGCTCGCACACAGCTTCGTGGACAACATCGCCATTTCCGCGCAGCAGCAATTGGCCATGGCTTTTTCCTTTCTGGCATTGTGGGGTCTCGACCTTGACATGGGCAAGACCTATACCTGGGGTACCTCGCCGGAAGTCGACCGTTGGGGCTGCCAGTGCTGCCAGACGCTCGAGAACTCGGAGGCACCATGTCGCATCAGAAAGGCTATCGCAATAGGCTTCTGCTGCAACGAGGGACCGCCAGAGATTGGGTGCTCCACTGTCACACCAGTTGACCACGCTGCCCGCAGCCTTCTGGCCAGGTCTCCTCCGTGGGGCAAATGCATGCCAGTTAGCGGTACTTTCTTGACTGGATTGCGGACGCAAGCGGTCAAAGCACCGAAGGTGAAACATGGGGGAGCCAGCCAAGTATTGCGGCTCACCTTCTTGCAGCCCATGACCGCGGACCCTGGCTATTATTTACTTCGGCGTACCATCCATGACTTGCGCAGGATCAGTCATAAGACGCCGGAGTTGCTTGCAAGCTGGGGCACTTGCATGGGCGCCACACCGGGAGAGAAAATTGCGGGACCGTTCAGCAAGCTCTTGCAGACGTTCACTGCATTGTCTTGGACCATGTTGCAGCCACCCTTCTTCCTGGACCATGACAACGTGCTCTTTAACCTCATGGAGCTCAACAACCACGCCTTGGAATCCATTTTGGAGGACGCATGCGTCCAACAGTCCATCCGAATCGCCGGACACCGCAAGTCACTAGCAGACGTGGGCCGGGTTGACAGGGACCTCTCTCTCTTTCCGGATGGCGGACATTGACACCGCTGCAGGCATCGCAATATATGTGCATCTGTGAAGGCGCATTCATCTCGGACTGGCAGCATGCAAAATTTGATCTTGCCAAGTGCCAAGTCTGCCAGGAACCAGATACCCAGATGCACTGGCTGCAATGTCAAGTACGCCGATCTCAGGGCATCTCGTCCTGAAATCAGCAGTTGGTCGCGTATATCGCCGTACAGTTTCTTGGATACACCTCGGGCGGCCAATTTTTATTCGGAGCCATCAGAAGGGGTACAGCACCTTTTCACCGATGGCAGCAGCCGAACACTCAACGGCAGCAGCCTCAGTACAGCCTCTTGGGCAGTGGTCAATGCATCCACAGGCGGAATCGTATCAGGCGGCCATCTTGCAGGTATTTCGCAAACAATCAGCAGAGCAGAAATTGAAGCGGTTATTGCAGCATGTTTGTGGGTGCAACATTATGGATGCACCGCTTGCATATGGAGCGACTCCTTGAATACGGTACGTGCTGCCAAATCATTCATGGCCGGCCAGAACACGCGCAGTATCGTCGACAATCACGACCTCCAGCAGAACCTCTTCGACATGCTTGGACAGCTCGACGCCGATCAGGTATGCCTCAACTGGATCCCATCACACCTTGATCCGACCCTGTGCGAGACGGAGGTCGAAGAATGGGTCGGGGCCTGGAACGACGTCGTAGACCACGCGGCCGTTATCTTGAATGACCAGGGGAGTTCATCTTTCTGGACGATATTCGAACGGGAGCAACAACGCCAAATCGAATGGAAGCACATCTTGAATTCGTTTCGCTCTTTTCACTTGGAGGTCGCAGAGCAGAGGCGGGCTGTACCGCGCACTGACAATCTCGAGGCGACCGAACCTGAAGTATTTGCAGCAGGGAACGACTTTGCTGACGGTGACGGCTTTCTGGAACTACTTCCAATCAATTGGCGCACGCATGGAAACTTGGGCACAACTTTGGCCCCACAGGAATTCGGATGAGCAAGTGGGATGACAATTCGGAGGTGTCTGCTCCGCTTTCTTTTATCGAGCTCACTCTGCTTTTGGAATGTGAGCCTGGGTTCAGCATTGCAGGGCCTGGACAACCTTTACACACGCCCCACCGTGGCTGCATTGGTACGCTTTGTCAACAGCGGCGTGTGACAGTGCCACGTACTGCGGCTCTTCAGCCTGGATCGTTTTCTCTTGGCCGGGCTGGACAGGACGGCGTTGCATATCTTTAAGCCGGTCAACGGCCTTTGCGTCCGACTTACCAACAGTCGGAGAGACCAGGCACGACGCCTGGTTCTCAACTTCACTTGCCAGCAAGGTATCCGCAAAGCGGCGGACCTCGCGAAGCCATGTAGATAGGCCGCAGGGCCGGACAGACCCGAGCACCGCACCGCATTGCTGCGCGCGCTCGGCCGCAAGGTTCGCGCTAAGCCGGCAAACTTGGCAAACTGGACATAATTCAGACTACCGTTATTAAACCTGGTGCAACATTAGATGAGGCATGGCTTTTGACTAGGGTTTGCCTGGGTTTGCGGTTTGCAGGTTGCTTGCCTGTGCGTGAAAAGTTCTGGACATGCGAGTTTTGCCAATTGCCGCGCCAATTGTCCAGTCGAGATCCCACGTCCAGAAGCGCCTTGCCCAGTGAACGGCTTGTCAACCATGGTGCTTCACCTAGTCAGGCGAGTTTTGTAGCGGTGGAGTTCAGCCTGCGACATTCGACTATGTTGCACGATTCAGCGCACGTCAAGCCCCAGGCAGAGCCTTCGCTTTTTCCTTTCGCGCCAGGTGTGGCGCGCTGTGGTGAGCATTTTGTCTCAACCTGTTCAGCACCATGTTTCCGTCTGTCCGGTATGCTTCAACCAACTTGCGTTTTCATTGCTCGAGGACTTGAATTCGCGTGGTTGGCTGGATTGGCAGCGAATTTTCGCTTCAGCCAACATGAATGTGTCGTGTATGAGCGCATTGTATTTTAAGCCGATGCGTCGGGGCCAAGATCGGTGGATGTGCTCAATTCCATTGTGATTTGAGTCAAGCAATTGTGGTTTTGTCTTTGGAAGGAATGAAAACGGACCACATCCACCGATCTTAGTCCCAACATGTGAAAAGCAGCGAGAAGATGAGCCTTTTAATCAGTCAGCAAACAACGCCGTTCCGCAAGATGTGTTTTCAGTGAACAAGAACGGTCACATCCAGTACAAAATATGATACAAGGGATTCCTACATTGCTGGAATCATGTGCAATTCAAGTAACCCCCCCCCCCAGGACCGATCTTGGCCCCGACGCATACCTATTTTATCTACTGTGCAAGTTTCAGAGCGGGACGGGGCGCGTTGCCACCGGGATCAGAGCAAACTACATCCGACTGCCCAAGCAGGACTCACTCAAGTTTCGCTGATGGTGGATGGATGGTGCCTGGATGAAACCAAATTAACAACAAGGCAGCATCTTTGCCAAGCGGCAGATGCTGTTGTCCTACCGTTGCCGTTGCTGCTCTTGCGTTGGCTTGATGTTTACAGCCCTTTCTAGCCGGCTGGCCTGCTTGTTTTTGCTCATTTTGTTTCTTGCTTGGACGCCACTGTGCAAGGGTGTGGTGAAACACAAACCAAGTGTTGCCTGCCAAGGCTCAAAGCCTCTGCGCGTGCGTGAGTTGAGTCGGGCCTCAGCCATTTTGTGTGGACTCCGCTCTGGTGTCGGTAGTGCAGAGGTCAGGCAACTGCCTCCAACTGGAGCGTAGACATGATAGCCAGCGTGTGGAGACGTGGATGTGATAGCTTGTGTAAAGCCGCGCCAAAGGCTCAAACCCGCAAGAAGGGCGCAAGAACGGGGACAGGTGGGCAGGGCATTACCTTCCATCACCTTCCATATTGATCAGGATGGATCAGTGCTCCAAGAGCTGATGCTGTCTTGAGATTCCTGCCGCAAAAACGTGTGGGCTGGGAGACTTTGTCCAAACAGTGGCATGTAGAGAAACCCTGCTAAGAGGAAGAGATGTGCAGACAATATCAGGCAAGTAGTCCAGCTTTTCGGTGGCCTTTTCAGCGCTGGACATGCCAAGGCGAGTGACGTTGGCAGCGCTCAGAAAACATGCAACCGCAGCAATTCCATTCCAAGCAAGCTTTGGCCCTGCGTGGGCCCCATGTACGTCATGGACTGCATGGACTGAGTCAGAGGTTTGTTGAAAGTGGTACAAAAGTGCTCTGTCACAGCTTTGCGACTGCTGGCGTCTACAGTTTGGCAGGCGGAGATGTTTCGCGGTCGCATCATGCAGGCGCTGGCGCGTATAGCTGGTGAAAGAAGCGCTATCTGTTGAAGTATGTTTTCCGTGTTGTTTTTTGGCGTGGCTTGTTTGGTTTTCCGGCTTTGTTGCGCTTTTGCTTTTATAACTTCTTGGCTTTTCTTGCTTTTAAGTGTTTTTGGCTCTTCTAGCTTCGCACGTGTCTGTCTTTGGTCGTTTCTGGCTTGTTGACCTGCTTGGCTTTAAAGCGATGCTGCCCATCACGGGTGTGCCTATCGTTCAAGGATGAGCGCGGTGCATGTTCTTAAGCCGGCGTGCCCATCGCGTGGCAGAAATGTGCGGATCCAGGTGGGACACCCTGGGCTGGGTGGCCTGGCGCGCATGCCGCTTGCGCCTGCGAAATGCTCGAGCAAGCGCCGTGCCGCTCAGACAGTGCCGAAGCTGGCCATGCCTTCGGGCGCCGACCGCAGCCACCCTCAACCCTGGAGCATGCCTCAAGCGCTAAGCCGCAAAGTTCTACCCCACAAGCCTCAACCCTAAAACCCCTAATCGAAAACGAATCCCCTCAACCCCATAAATCTGGGGCGCCAAGCCCAAAGCCCAAGCCCTGGAAACCAAACCTACAAGCCGCACAAGCTGTATCTGACATCAACCACAGCTTGCTCACGTAAAGGTGTTTTTGGAGCATGAAACATTTGACTCATTGCCAAACCCAACACGGTGTTTGTCTCAAGCCTAGCATTTTTGCGCAAAAGGCTGCGAGTGGCAACGAGGCAGAGAACTGACTTGGAGCATCTTCCGTTTCTTTCTTGTAGCTGTCTTGGTGCCTGGGGACTTGCCCCTTGTTGGGCTCGAGTTGCCCCAAGCGCAGGCTAGCCGCACGATCGCCCTCGCTTGTTCGCATTTTCGCGAAATGGCGTTGGCAGAGAGCGATGCCAAAGGTCACCCAGCCCCCGTGTTTTTTGGTGGCAAGCTCTTTGCGAATCCTTCGATCAAAGCCAGCTCCAAACCTCGGGGATACAAGTTCGCTCCTGACACGCTGAACGCCAAGTTTCCCGCATGTCCCCAAACACTTGAAGCTTGGAACTCGCGAAGGACCCTAAACCCTAAGCCCCCTTTGGTCCCCTTTAGCGCAGGTCCAATCCCTGTAAACGCGCTCGCTGGCCAAAATTCACGGCTTCCACCGACCCAACCAAACAACAACCGACAGAATCGGCCTTACAGAAGGCCAGCCCCGCCTACAAGAGCTGCGCTGTTCTTAGCTTTCCGTTCAGCACTGTGCTGCGTGCTATCGAACAAGCGCTGCCGCAAAATGGCGCGGACTGGCATCTCTGCGACAAAAGCCTGCCTTGGGGGTTTGAACTGTTTTGTCGCGCTCAGGTGCTATTGCGCCGGTTCCCTTTCTGTTTTGCTTCTGCCTGGTTAACTGGATGTCCTTCTACTTCTTCGCGTTGCTTGTGCCAGCCGAGGGCCACCGAGCGCTTGGGACTGGGAGGATAAGTTTGCTTGTACTTGTGGTGGGATTAGGGTAAATTGCTTTTAAAGATTGGGCCACCCGCGCCTTCGACCCGTTTGTTGGGGTCTTCAAACTGAGTTGCAAGCGTGCCTTCGTGTGACTCAACGCGTCGACTTGTCCGGTCATTCACTTTTGAATCTGCTGGCCAGGAAGCAGGACGCGAAACCATCATGTCGCAGGCCGGCCGATCGTTCCCTTTCATTGCAGCCGACCCTAGCTTTCAGGCTTTGCGCAGGCATGTTGGGCTCTGTCGTGAACACAGCCAACAGCGGGTGAACGGTTGACCTGTAAGTCACTGCACGAAGCGTGAAGTGACTGCTTGAGTTGCGCAGGGCGCAAAACGAACCAGCATCATGGAGGACGGAGAACGAAAACTTGTGAGCCACAAGAACTGATAGTTCAGGCGGGCAGTGGTACGGCCGGCGCAACAGTTTTCCCTCTACCGCAGCTGCAGGGAAGCAGGTTTGCGTGTTATCACGACGTTTGCGAGACGCATTGGCGCAACTATCTTTGCAGGTACATTTCACAAGCCGCGACTCAGGTAACACTGCGCCAAGACTTTTTTTAGTGTAGACTTTACACAATGGCCATTGCGCAGCTGTGTTTGCTGTAGAAGCCTGTGGCTGAACAAGATTTTGACACCCGGCTGCCATGACAGCAGTTTGTGCGTCGTCTCACAAATGCTTAAGAGCTTCGGTGTCATCTCCTTGTCCAGTTGGATTGCAGAGCATAACCAGGCTTGACCCAACTCGGTGTTATTCGTGCGTGAGGACGGAGTTCAGCTGCAGCCTCGCGCCCGGACCACCAGCATGGACTGCGAGGCGCAGCTTTGAAGTGTTTGATGTTGAGTTTGCTTTTTCCGACCAAAGCAAGTCTCATTGTTTCAAACAGCAAGGGAGGATCTCTAGGCCCCAGAGCAAGCTTTGCGACTCTCATGTGCTCATTGTCAGACAACTAGTACTTACGTGGTGAGCCCGAAACAGACAATACTCTCTTACAAAAACACTACCAGACGGTTACCCGCCTGATGCCCCAGCCGTTACGAGAGGTGCCTCTACACTTGGGACATTTGGTCCAGGTGAGGAGAGGAGCTTTCGCGACCTATGCCCCGACAAACCGTTCCAGAGTGTACTTTGCGCGCTAAATCTGTACTGACAAAAAGTTGCTTATCAAGCTGGAGATGCCAGAGTGTACTTAGCATGCTGCAGTCGTGCTGGTAACAGAAGATCTCAATTGATGCTACAAATTCCACTTCGACGTTCTCTCTCTCTCTCTCTCCCTCTCTCTCTCTCTCTCCCTCCCTCTCTCTCTCTCTCTCTCTCTCTCTCTCTCTCTCTCTCTCTCTCTCTCTCTCTCTCTCTCTCTCTCTCTCTCTCTCTCTCTCTCTCTCTCTCTCTCTCTCTCTCTCTCTCTCTCTCTCTCTCTCTCTCTCTCTCTCTCTCTCTCCTTTTGTTTAGTTTCAGGAGCGCTAGCCCAAACAGGACATGTTCTCGGCTTTATGCAAGTGGGGAAATCGTTGCAGCCGTCCGCAGCACCAGACAAGACAAAGAAAGGAAAGGACAAGAATGGCAAGTTGAAGCGGCTCTTCAAACGAACGATCGCAGCGCCAGTGCAACTACGTGGAAGAGGATGAAGCAGGCGAGGCGTACCAAAAAAAAGAGCTGAACTATCGCAAGAACGGAGGACGATTGCGAAAGTGGGTTACGCGTACTACTGGCCGACCCCATGGCGTGGGCGAAAGGTGCCTCGACACGGGCGACGCGGAGCCGTGTGAGCTTGCAGCAGAGAATGACACGGACCGACGAAGATGGTTGGTGGAGATCCCGAATGTCGTGAAGGCGGAAAGAAAGGCTCTGGCAAGAAGGCGTCTTCATCCCCGCCCAGCCATTGTTCTTCGCGACAAGTAAGGGGATTCCACAAAAACTGGCCCGCATGCAGAGCCTTACTTACGGCGCCTACTTCTCCAGGATCAAGCGAGGCTAGAAGCAGCCCTTGGAGGAGCGGCGGGTTGGGAAGAGGAACCCCCAGCAAAC